ACGGGCTGATGTGGTATAATCGTCTTAATGAATATTTGACAAGTCAGGGTTATGTGAACAACGAACTATGTCCTATGCCTGTTCATTAATAAGTCACATTCCGGATTTGTAATTGTTGCAATTTATGTCGACGACATAAACCTCATTGTAACTCTCGCAGAGTTTGAAGAAATTACATTTCACTTGAAATCGAAATTTGAGATGAAAGATCTTGGGAAAACACAGAAAAAAATAATAATGTCCATAAGTTATTTCTCTTCGTACATGCACACTAAAAAGGGTGCATAGTGATGAAATTTTGATGGAATTTTCACTACCTACTGTATACCAGCTGTGCAGACACACAAAATCCTATTTTTCTTTCATCTTGACTTGGTTAACTTAATAAATAATTCCCAAGCACTCACTTTCTTGTGATCCCACCCAACTAATCTGGATTGTTCGGCGATCTGCAACGTCAATAATCAACCATCAATTCTAATGATTATAATATTAACCAAATTATAATTGTTATTATTCTTCTCAGGTTATCAATTGCTTTCTATTTTTAACTGACAACAGTTTGATGATGATAATGTCAAAATAATTTCGCATTATTTTGGAGAAGACGATGGAAAGAAGACAAGAGATTTTTCAATGTGTCTAGAATACGAGGTAGTATGACATACGCTATTACATAAGTAGAGGAAAGTTTTTTTTTTTTTTTTTTTTTTCCAAATGTCCCTCCAGTTTTTTTTTTTTTTTTTTATTTTTAATTTTTTCCTCCAACTGTCATTCCAATTGTATAATGTATGACATATGCTATGCACTTCGCTTATTTTTTTTCTTAATTTTTTGTATTGATTTAAGTTTTTTCAAGAATTTTGTCGACCATTCTTGCACTACACTCATAGGGATGATAATTAAATTCGATAACTGTAGATAACCACCCGAATGGATTAGATTTGGGTATGAAAATTCGGGTATATTTTGGGTATGGGAAAAAACCACTGAATATTATTCAGTTATGGTTTTGGATATGGTTATAAAGGTCCCCAATCCGTATTCGTCCCCAAATCCAAACCGAATAATATATAATATAATTATTCTTAATATTAAAGTATTAAAATACACACACACACACATATGTATATTCATTATTTGCCAAATCCCTTACTTTTGAGTGTAAATACAAAAATTGTATTATGTGAGTTGTATTTTGTGGAAAAGTTCATAAGTTTTGATATGAATCAAAATCTATGAGAATTCAATGACCCTTATGGGAGATATCAAAGATTAGCCAACATTATTAATGTTTAACTTTAATTTTTATGCTCCACAAGATCCGTTTATTAAATGGAGTTTTAACAAAACACTCCCGGTACTGTTTACTTTTAACGAAAAATCACATTTATACCTTTATTTGGTACTATTCACTATACCTTTAAAAAGAACTTTTCATTAAAAGGGAAGTTTTTTGGACTTTTCGTTAGTTTTCATTTTCTTAAATCATTTATACATCAAATATTTAATAATGAAATTAATATTTATTAAATTATCATGTGTCAATTGAACGAATGTATTTTTTGTATTAACAAAGATGGATATAACCGTTAATCGATGGAGAATCCGTTATCCGGTGGATATGGTTATGGATAATACCCGATGGTTAATTTGTAATTATGAATATGATTAATTTTCGTGATTATGAGAATGAATATAACATTTCCATCTCTAAATCGAACCATTGTCATCCCTATACACTCATGTCGCTAGATGAACATTCAAGAAACTTAATTGAGCAACATTAATGAACAATTCCATGTGTAGCATCAATGCAGTCGGGCAATTGAATTCATTGGCTTTGACGTAGATCTGCACACATAGGGATTGAATTCATTGGCTCGGTCGTAAATGCCAATGTACAGTGATTGAACAACGCATGCAACTAAAAATACTAGAGGCAGTGAGGCACCAGCATAATTTTATTCCAAAGTCAGCAAGTTATAGGTAATTGATAAGGTAATCCTATTTCACTTGCTAAAATATATGATTTAACTGCTAAAAGGGATTGATTTGGAGTTAGAGCTTCATAGACAATGATTAGTGTAGACCAACTTAAGAATTTGTCGACCTTTATGATTTAATGCTCGTAATGTTATTAGTTAAATCTGGTGACCTAAGATATGTCTAATTTCAAAACATTAGATAATTATTTAAAATGTTTTAAAATGTTGAGATTAATTTAAAATCACCCCAAAAGGTTGGATAGAATTCCTTACGTAACCCTAATTTTTATTTTTGATCTTATGAAGTTGGCAACGAATTCCATGCCCCCATATTTGACAGGACACCCTGGGTTTTGATTTCGGGCGCTGGTGAACCACAAGACAGTGATCATGGGGAGACTGAAACTGTGAGCTTCTAGGTGCCAAAAAGAGTGAAGTGTCGTAGCGAACCAATCAGGTCCCTTTTTTAAAGGAAAAAAAAAAAAAAAAAAAAACCCATCGCTTGAGGAGTTTATGGACGTATAATATCAAATTGTCTTATTCTTTTAAATATCAAGCTTCTTATACGAATCCATTTTATATTTTTGGCTAGATGTAAATTGTTTATTTTTCATGAATAATTTAATAGGAAAAAGAGGTTAACATCGCTTTCCTTTTTATATCTTAGGAAATCTTGAAAGTTTGGTCATGCCAAATATATCTGTGTAGCCAGCGCTTGTCGTGGCTCAATAATTATATTTCTCTGCATTTTTGAGCCATGAGTTATGAGCAAGGTCTAAAATATCGATAATATCGGAAATATCGGTAATTCAAAAATACGAAAATTTTAATAGAAATATCAGGATATTATCGATATTGATAAAAATTGAATAAAAATCACGGAAATTGTAAGAAAAACTTGGAAATTTTTATTGAAACTTTGCAGGATGTTTATTTAGTCAATTATCTATTAGTTTATCACAAAAAATTGGAAGGAAATGTTGGAGAACAATTTAGAAACAATAAAATAACAGATGTAGAAAACTAAAATACTTATACTTTATTATTCACAAATACTTGCAATACAGAATGTAACAACACAATAATTACAAAAATTAATATGATACTAACTTGAATGAATTGAAGGTAGAGGCTAGCGCAAACGCTATGTCCTTTGAACAGTATTTCCGTTCCACTCGTGTGCTTGTGGTTCTACAACGTCTGCTCGACCAAGATACAACTACCTAATTCTACAACCTGCATTGGATTATAGAACTCTAGCGAATTGCTTTGTGTGTTTACTCTCTGGAAAGTTTGTACTGAAGATAAGGAGGAAGAAGAAAAGATAATCAATGATGGAAATGAGGACTCCAGTTATATAGGCTCTTTCATACCTCTTTAAACATCTTTTGGATGTATCTGAAGCTATACAGCTCTTTCCAAAAAGATACAACTCTTTCCAAAGAGTTGTGTCTATTAATCAAAACGTTTTTACTTAATATTAATTAATATTAATATTATAGTATAATCATCAAACCTAATCCACACAACCATAAGGCCCAAGCCTTCAATCCATTTCCAAATGGTCCATGTTCTAATTACTAAGAAAAAGGAATAAGCCTATATAAAGGCTAGTGAAAAAATATTGTTGACCAATGTGGGACAAGAGGGTCTCAAACTCCAACAGGAAATGCATTGCAAGGTGGATTTAACTGATTTAAGTTGATTATATAGCGAGCTGACAAACATTGTGAGTGTAGAAAATATGTAGTAATTAATGAAAGAAATTTAAACACACCATAATCATTTATATATAATGAATTAGTACAATATTTTACACTTTATACATTGCATGGTAAGATACATGAGTGAATTAGTACCACATAGAGTTCCTATGAGGTTCAAAATTTTCACCATCTTCATCATCTCTATGTGTAGAGTAAGTGTATTGTGAAGAGTAGTCATCAAATGATAAATCCCCAAAACCATATATATAAATATTTTAGCATATTTTCACAAAAGCATAAGTGATATGGTGGTCAAGGTGTAGAAGGAGTAAAATGGGAGGGGTTCGAATCCCCCCTATGCGCAAGATTGAGACTTTTTAGCATTTTTCAAGTATTTTTGGGTTTTCTCTCATGATATTATCAATAATATCGCGATATATTGCTCAAATATATGCATTAAAATGCTGAAAAAATCGTTTCCGATAATATTGTGATATTATCGATATATTAACGATAAATAAGTGGATAAGTGTGAAAATATCGTCATTATCGGCGAAATATCGATATTTTAGACCTTGGTTATGAGTATCAATAAGCATCTTGGTAGAGCCATGCAATGTTTTTGGTTTGGATATTTCAAACTATTGATATGAAACTGAACGATGTTTGTCTAGGGTTAATTAGTAGATGGTTTAAAATTTGAAAACCTGAAGGTATATCATCTATTCAAGCTGAGATCATTTACGATCTTCATAAGAAGTCACTTTATATCTGGAACACAAGTTGGTACACTATATACTATAATACAAGCACTAGATGGACAATAAAAATTATATTCTTCATTGGGTTGTTCCCTTTATTATTTGGGGCGAATATTTGAGTATTTAATATATAAAAGTTCGACTTTTGCTCTTTTAACTAATTTACTTTTTATACTAAAAAAAGATAAATAAAGTACTTGCAATTCAGTTGGTTAATAATATTCATTTTTACTTTGAAATTCTCATTCTCTCCCCAATTTGGCTTGTAGAGAAATGACTTTTAGACGTATGGTTTTATGTGGACCGCATAGGAGCCAAATGTGACTAATTAACCGAACCAAACCGAAATAAAAAATAAAAAAAATATTTAATTTTAAATATATATTTGAAATTGTAACAGCCGTCTGATTTGGTTGAGATTTAATCTCAACCGTTGAATCCAAATAAAACCCTCACTGCACTCAGTCACTCTCTCAGACTCTCTCCGTCTTTCGACCTCTCCTCGACTTCACTCGTCCTCACCCTCACTCAGGCACTCTCTCTCGACCTCACCCTCACCCTCACCCTCACCCTCCTCGACCTCACCCTCACTCAGTCACTCTCTCTCTCTCGACCTCACCTCTCACCTCATCCTCCTCGCCGATTTGCCTCGATCTCTCTCCTCCTCCCACATCAGACAAGTGACTCACCCCGTACCGTGGAGCCTTCCTTCTCATCCCTCACTGTGGAGCACTGGAGCCTTCCTTCTCATCCCTCACCTCACTGTGCAACGATTCTCCCCCACATCAGGTACATTTTGGAATTAATTTAGGGTTCGAATTCACTGTGCACCGATTCTCTGGTTATTGGATAATTGGATTTGCATATGGAATGCATTGCAGTCAAACGGCTCTGCTTTTGTTCCCAAGCGTATAGATTTTTGAGATGCTGCAGATGCAAAGTGTCCAAAACCCAGTATCTATTTGTGGTACGCATACCAGTTCTGTTCTTGTTTTATATCTAAATAAATTCTTATTTTTGCATAAGTATATAGGGGCCGTATATATGTTGGAGGACTTTGGGAGATTAATAGTTCTCCAAATTATTTGAGAATGAAACAATGTCTCACTGCAGACTGGCAAAAACTATTGTGCTTCATTTGTTGGGCATTTGTTGGAGTACTATTGTGCTTCTCAGTCAGTCTTCTTCCATTAGCCGTTGTATTCGGTCTGTATTTCGGATTTGTCCCTAAATCCTGAAACTATTTCGTGATTCTCGAAATTTGGGATTTCCGGAAATTTGGTTTGGGATCGGTCTTGAAATTGGGATTTCCGAAAACTTTGGTTTGTGATCGGTCTTGAAATTGGGATTCATGAAAACTTTGATTTGGAAATCGGGACATGGTAGCAACTATTTGAAATAAAATAGCCACTAAGCAAGAATTTTATGGTATGCCATCAAATGATGGCAGTAAATCCATAAAGCTGCCCATCAATTTTTTAAATAATAATTGTTTTTTGTGTAATTCATCGAGGATTCCACTTTAACTGTAGAGTTAAACTTCAATCAAATATGATTTAACACTTAACTCTAAAGTCATATATAACTTTAATAACTTTAATTTTTTTAGTGTACTGAAAAACGATTGAATCAAATTTGAAGTCGAACACAGCTTTTGACTCCAAAAATTTTGGCCCATTGGAGATAGCCTAATACCGTTTACTATTAGAAATATAAATAACAAAAGATTTGTGTCTCGACTGCAGAGGCATTTTCTGAATCTTTCAATTCATTCTGTTGTAGTTAGGTGAATTGGTGCCGATGGCGAGTATTGATGTTAATATGAACATATGATGACTCTTCTTATCACAAGCATATGTAATCACCTTATCATTGTGGTCACTGATATTGTCATTCCCATATTGGGTAGGGTCTACTCCACTAATGTCATTGTCAGCATCTTACCATCTTCACCACCATGCTTCATCGATTTGAACCAAATTTCTTCTAGGTAAGAGGGAATTGTGATAAGGGAGTGGTTGGCTCGACGTTGAGCTCGTGGCCATGGTAGGGTGTTGATACGAGTATACCCTCGAAAATATGTTCATGTGGACTGACTCGCATTTGATCAATTTTGACGGAAAATTAGATGAAATTGACGTCAAAGATGACATTGATATGCAGCATTAGAGCATGTGGACAAAATTGATCGAATTGGAATTCGTGGAATTCGTTGTTTTCCATTATTTTCTCGTAACAGGAAAAACACATACAAGTACATTCCTTGTACGAAGGGGAAACTTAGGGTTAGGGTTAATAGCCAAGTTAATTGGAATCCTTAGCGGAAACAAAAACCCTACGTTATTAGGAATCCTTACTCAAACAGGCAAGCGCATGGTCACATCATATATATACACAAACAATCAAGGATTAAGGGCACTCAATCAATATCTCCTGGCTAATTTTGCTTGCACAGGGCCTTTAATTATTCTCTGCTAACAAAGATGGACGTAGCAACTAATCAATTAAGTCTGAAGAGTCACAGTATTAGTCCTAGTAGGTCCATAGACGCCCCACTAAACCCAACAAATGTTAGCTTTCAGAAGATCTACCCGTGGCCTGAAGCAGGACAGGTCGAAGCTGATCAGAAGTTTAAGCGTGGCTTGTTCAGCTTCAGCTTCCACTAATAATTTGCAGTACGAAAGGTTAGCTTCCAGAAAAAGATTCCTCGGAAGCTACCCGTTTTGCAAGAAAGAACCGACACCGTCCTTTGCGAAAAGAATCAAGAATGGTTCAAGAGCAACATGGACAAGGATAAGATCACTATTACTATAGGACGTGCCTGCATGCATCTCTAAGACTGGTCGGCTACTGAATTTTGCTTGCTTTGCCGCGGATTCCGGAAGGCGTTTTATAGTTTTCGATCTAAAGTTAGATTGTAATTATTCGATGTAATGTTTTTTTTCTGCATTATTTAATACCGAGTGTAAGATTGAATTTTTATTTTGTTCAATTTATTAGGTACATTTTTTTAGTATAAAGTTTATAAACTTATCTGTGACATCCTAAATAAAATATTCATAGGTATATATATTGTTCTGGCATGAATTTATCCTTTTTTTTTTTGGCTTACAACTAGATCTTGGGAATGTTTATTAATTTTTATTATTTTAATGATTTGGGCTACATTTAGAAGATGCACCTCAGAGAATTTGTTTTGTATATAATTAAGGCATCTTTGGCATTTTTTTAGAACGATAGCGTTAATGATTTAAATAGTGAGTTGTTGGGGAAGAAAAATCCTTGGGAATGGACCATCCCCAAGGTTCACCTCAAATAATTTGTATTCTAATAACATTTATTAAAGGCATTTTGTTTTGATACAAGCGATATTCCTACTTTAAATTACACCACAAAGAGGGGAGGATTTTAACCTGAGAGGTATTAGGTTGGAAAGGAAAGCCTAATAATCAGGGCAATCCACCACTTGCTTTATTGCAACATCTTCGTATTGCCTTCTTTTGTGCTTTTGTGGTTTTCTTTCCTTGTACTGTTTGCAGGATATAAATTTTCTTAGGTACAATTTGCGATAGGGTTTCAATGTGAGATTAAGTTTTAACTATCGAACTAATTAGCTCTTAGTCTAATGATATATAATTCTTTTTCTCAAGGTGGCAAGATATCTCAAATGAGAAACCCTTCTCTTATGTGGATAATCCATGGAAATTGGCAATTCATTGCATAAATGGGCTATTTTGTGATTCAAATTGTAGTGTAGGCCCAAGTAAGCCCATTAGTACTTTCTTTTTTTTTTTTTTTTTGGACAAATCCATTAATACTTTCTCTAACCTAAACATTAAGGCAAGTGTGGATCTGTGGATTCATGAGTCAAGACAACCCCATTAGAAATATGAGAGAAAATGTACTCAACCTAAAGCCCATTTCCAATGTCTTAAGGTGGGATTTCTCCACCCACATTTTTTTCATGAGTAAACAGTTAAGATTTAACAAAGCTCTATAGTAAAAGGCATGAGGCATTCTACTTTCTTTATGTAAAAGATTAAGGGAATAATGAATGGAGGATGCCAGTTTGGAGTCCTATTAACAGTTCCTAAGTGAAAATTCCTTTGCTAATTAAACTTTGAATTTGATCTTTGCAGTCAATTTTCCTGAAACATGTACCCATCCACATCACTTACTATCCTCTATTACTCATTCTTTTTCAGTGGGTAATCGATAAACACTTGGTACCTCTATTCGTTATAGTATTGCTTATGGATCATACAAACTGTGACAATTCAAATACTGTATCTTAAAGTTGGACACAACTATAACCTGCATATAGACAAACATCTAGAAGACTAGAACTTTAGAACAACGACTATGTGTGTTTCTCTTTGTTATTGCTGCTTTGTTTATTAATGTGCATGTTTGATGTATTTGGGTATTACCTAATTGATTGAACTTATATGAGTTTTATAAGTATTTTCATTCAAAATTTCCAACAAAACATGATCAATTTCCATCCTCCAAAATAGAACAACGACTATGTGTGTTTCTCTTTGTTATTGCTGCTTTGTTTATTAATGTGCATGTTTGATGTATTTAGGTATTACCTAATTGATTGAACTTATATGAGTTTTATAAGTATTTTCATTCAAAATTTCCAACAAAACATGATCAATTTCCATCCTCCAAAATATAAACATAAAGAACTATCACCAAAATTTTCATGTAAAATTACATTAATTTTTCACAAAATAGCTGAAGATTTTTTAAAATCTGAGAGCATGCATGATTAAGAAAGAAATGTGTTCAAATAATAGTTAAATTTCGAAGTAAAAATCAACCAAAACCCTAGTTTCTCCAAACCCCAAAATTGGTCCATGTCTGTCCTGATGTCCATCCAAATAACTGAAGCTCTTGAAAAGAGTTTTTGTAGTTCTCTTTAGTCTTGAACCAAAACAAGACCGACCCCGCAAGGCTGCAAACTCACTTTCTCCAGTCTCTACCCACTTTTAACACATCAAAAAATAAAACAAAATGAGAGTAGAAAAAGGAAAAAAAAAAAAATCAAAAAAATTAAAGCATCACTCTCACCCACGCCAAAACCCTACAGCCTGTCTCCCCCCTTTTCCCACCACGTGTCACATTTCAGGCACACCTCCATTTCCTTGGACCACTGCTCCCACGTGGCTTTGGGCACCCCTGCCTGCCCAGCCACGTGTACCCCTTCTTCTACCATTGGTGCCAATAGGACCACCTTGCAGATACACACACACACACATACAAATTGCATTCGAAAATCATGCCAGGGGCAGCTGCATTTCGTTTCAGATCATCACCCACAATTGCTAAATGTTCACTGCCACTGCTCTCTGCCTCTCTTTGCTTTCAATAATTTCGGGTCGTTTTCTGCATGGGGCCAACCCCATCATGCCCAAAAGGCCTCCAAGCCCAAGGCTGCTGGCACCCATAATTTTTAATGCTTTTTCTATCTTTTTCTTTTCCCTTTTTATCACCTTATTATATCATGCATGCTTCAGTTTTTTATTTTAATTTTTAATTTTTTTAATTCTTTTGAGAGAAAAATGTGGATGAATTATGAAACAGGAAAAGTAAGAAAGTGGAAAAAGGGGTAAAATTCTCGAAAAGGGTGGAGGCTCAGCTCATGCTATACCATGAGAATGTTGGTCCCTTTGTGAAATGACCCACTTGAGAAGGACATCGCTGTTTTTTTCTCTGTCCCAAGAGACAAAAAACAACCACCAAACCCTAAAGATTATATTCTACATTACCCATATTTTGCATATATATTGCCTCTCAGCTTAATTGTTTGATTAAGTTTTTTCTAATCTCGGTTTAATTAGCTTTGTCATCTATATTGTAAATATTATATGTTCGTCAAACACTCTAGAAATGAGCTTTCGGCTTTTTTTTCCACTAGGGTCTATTAAATTTGACAGAAATCGAACATTTTAAAAATATTCTTGATATGTTATTTTTATGGATTTAAAGTTATGAATACATATAAATCAAGTTTACATCCTCCTCACCTTGTTTTATTCTATTGGATTCTCTTGCCTTTGCCGAAATTTGAAGCATATATTTAATTAAACATGGACTATTAGGTTTCTTATCTCTGGTGACTAGGAAAGTAGAAAAAAAGTGTTCAAGGTGTCCCCATTTGTTCACATTTCAATTAAGTTTAATTTTTTTTAACACACATATGTTTAAATTCAATTGTTTTACTTAGTCCACAATCATATCCATTAATTAATTCTACCTATATTATTTACTATAATATCTTATACCAATAATTAATAGCTTGGAAAACTTTTTGGACTATGAAAGGTGATGATCAACAGTTCCCAATATAGAGGACTAACATTTCTTATGTTGCTCATTTGTTTCTCTAAATACTAATTTGCTTGTTTCTTTCTCTAAAATAACCACAAATCTTCAAAACTTGCGTCTGACACGAAAGAAACCTTTGAAATAGACAGCCTTAGACACTAATCTAATCTTAGTATACGTTTTAACCTTAATTGATTCAACTTATTCGACCAATGGGAGGACAACTGAGACATTAAAAATACTAGGGTTTGGTGGAGTGAGTGAGTCACGAGGCTTAATTTTTAAGCAAAAATGTACAAGGGTTTAGGGAATTAAGGAAGATGTTGGTTGGGGCATAACATCATTAGGTAAGAGTTGCCCTTTTTTAAATTTAAAGTTTTTATTTTTGTTTTTAGATGAGCATGAACAAACAAGCAGGGTACAACTACAATTAAATTAGACAAAAAATACAAATACTAATTAATTAATTTTGCTTGGCAACATATATATATATATATATATATATATAGATAGATAATGTGGCACAAGAGGAGCATGGAGTTCCTACGTACGATATATACTGGCTGATTAGAGAGAGATATGTCATCTTCATTTGGATACGATTGGTATCTTTGGGTGGTGTACGTCAACTTGCTCAAGTCTTTGTGGCCTTTATACAAATTTTGTCTTTTATATATTTGACATAGGTTGCATGGAGATTTCTTGCATTCATTTTGTAATTGTGGCAGAAAATAACAAAAATGCGACCATATTTATATCATTTCTCTAATGGAGATGAGACTAGTGTTAGTGAGCACTACCTTTATTAGAGAGGTGATACAAATATGACATGAACAATGTGATAAGTATAACATTAATCAGAAAACAATAATTGTTTGGTATCATGATAAAAATAAAAAAATAAAAAACCGCATTTCTGAGAAGGTATGAGAGTCACCAATGATCAGCATTAGGGTTTAGCGAGGGAAGCTCTAGAATTCCTCAAATTCTTTGCTGTAATAGTACTACATGTTCTTTAATTTGGCCAATATTGAAATTCATTAGAACCCTAGATTACCTGTTGGCTTCCAGATATAATTGATAAGATTGGGTTGGATATTATTTCCTCTTGCATTTGGTTTGGTGTTGGAAATAAGTTTTGGATATATGATCCCGTTTGAAAAAAAAAAAAAAAAAAAAAAGAGGGTTTATTTACGTTTTTTATTTTGTGTACAAAAATATGAAAAGGTTATGGCAATAGGCCAACAACCATGCATAGACATTGTAACAAGAGTGGTGGTTGTATGCAGTAATAGTGGTGGTGACATTAGTAGTGATATCGATCATCTAGCAAGTAAAATTTCTGTGTTATTAACATTTATTTTATAATATGAATGAGCGATATATTGATATTGCAGAAAACTTATATATGATACCATTTATATGAGAAATTCAAATTAAATATAGCCTTATCCAACTGTGCGGGTCAAATATTACTAGTTATGGATGTGTCAAACACAAATCACAGCAAGCTATAATAATTTGCTATGTGTTTAGGGTCTCAATGTCAGCTATGTGTAAGAACCAGAATATGAACAAAGTTGTGACACGATTTGTTCCTACGTAGGGTCCATTTCCAGTCGAGTAAATCACCATCACTTGGAGCTAGTTTCACATACTTCTGCATGCAGCCTCTGGTGTGGTGAAAAACCTGAAAAGAGCCCCGGCTGTATGCATCACGCATGGACTCTGT